GTTTTCCTCAGGGCAAGTCTAATTCGGGTTTGGTACCAGCCATGCTCACCATGATGTTCAAATTCCCTGAAGTCCCATAGGATGTGCTACAGAGAAACTCTTTCTTAAAAGGGGAATTCTCAAAGTTGCATAGTTACTGGGTCATTATTATTATTATTATTATTATTATTATTATTATTATTATTCCTTGTTATTATTATTATTATTATTATTATTATTATTATTATTATTATTATTATTATTATTATTATTATTATTATTATTATTATTATTATTATTATTATTATTATTATTATTATTATTATCATTATTATTATTATTATTATTATTATTATTATTATTATTATTATTATTATTCCTTGTATTGCTGCCTACACTCATTATGTGTCTCAAAAAAGCTGTTTCCATGACTCCCAAGAATGAATTATCTGAAATGTAAATGTATTAAAATTCTACCAGAGATTGTTTTGATCCTAGAGGAGTATTGCAATTCTCTGGGAACTGCTATTGCCATGCCTTTTTGTTTATTTAAAAATACAGATCTATGAACTATGAAAACATTACATAAGACTATTTCTGTAATTCATATATAATGAGCCAGTCATAAAATTACCCTGATCCTTTGGGACATAAACCACTTCAGTTTTCTCAGTAGTCAGTGTATTTTGGCTATTTCTTTGGCTGGTATTTGGAGCCCACCAAATAAATTTATTTTTGTAGGTCTCCATTAGATTATTTTTAATGTTTTCTGTGAAGCATCTGAGTCCATGTCTCATCATAATATTTTCCTAGTAAATATGTTTCACAAATTAAATTATAGGCCTGCTGATGTCTGTAAGAATTTTGCTGTATATTTCAGCAGAACCAGGATTCCATCCGGTTCTTTTAAACAAGTTGCTTTGTGCTAAAAAAAAGTCGGTAATAACTTTCTGACTCAGTCTGGGAGCTCAGAGGGAAGTGCTGTTTATGGACTGGCACGTGGTGATCCTTAATTTATAGCAGAAAATGTATAAATGAAAAAATTACAGCTTAATTGTATAAAATAATAAACCTGAAAGCATTTACATGTCTCTATGGATTAATACTTGCAACCATTCATAAAATTCCTAATCTGTTTTAGATGATGAGATCCCAGGCTCTAGATAAACCACATATGAGGTGGTATGAGTATTACGGCCCAATTCTGCTCCTGTTTGAAGTCAGCAATAAAATTTCTCTTGGCTTTAGGACTAAGAGTTTACAGATGATGAAAGGTAGAACTCAGCTTAGCTGGGAAATATGGAAGTAATAGATTTTAAAGTTGTTTTTTTTTACTTTTAAAAAATAAATACTAATTTCATCAGTTTTCACTGCATCAGAACAAAGTAAGTGGGAACCGACCCAGGCACTTTGGTTATAGTAATCTGTACATTCAAAGGATTCTCAAATATATTCTCAAAAGGAATTTTGGTTATGCCAATGCTTCTCTAGTAGGCTGTATCAAGTACTGACAATTTTGCAGAAATTTGGAGTGTAAGATTTTACATCCTGATTCCTCACAGCTCCTACCCAAGCTCCAGTGTTACTACTTCTGCAGAGTTATAGCAGTGACAAGGTAAAAAAAACCAAACCAACAACATTTACTTCAGGAGAGATTCCTTTTTGGTAAAACTTGGGTATGGTAACAGTGATATAGCTGTTTGTACTATTCCATGATCTATTTTTTTTTTGCAGTAATAATAATAATAAACTCCTAAGTAATGATTCACAAACACTAATTTCATGAATGGATGAAGCACTCTAGTTCCCAATGTGTACAAACAGAGGTGTCTTCTCTCAATAAGCAGACGCTTTGTCTTGGGACCAGAGGTGCATGTTGGCTGCTTTCCTTACTGAGGCATACCACCTCTTTTGCCTTTGTATTTTGCATTAAAAAAAGAGAACTCTTATTTGTTTAATGGGTGTATAATAAGTTACTACTAAAACAAGGTCCTGCTTGAGCTGCCATGGGGATAAAAAAGTTCACAGACCTCTTCTGTGGGTTTAGGTTTAAACTATTGAGCTCTAAATGGTTGGATTATGTTTAGATGCTTGTTTTGAAAGTGACCGCAACTAATGTTTTTGCTGAGTTGCTAATTTTCATTTGAATCACAATTTCTTTTAGGAGCATGTCATGCGGCTTCTGCCTTGAAGGTTGGAAACCAACACAGTGAAAATTTACCTTTACTCCCTGAGTTTAGGATTATAATCAAACACATGCTTGCGTTTCCTTAGGGTTCAGCACATGCTTAATAGCAGG